TAGATGCTAGAGTTTTAGATCCTCCTGCATGAAATTATAATACAAATTCTGGTTTGACAGGTCTTTCCTCTGACTAACCTTACACCCTGGGCCAGCTTCCTTCTGGTTTTGTTTGAGAAATCGCTCGTCAGACTTGATATAACACTGAGGATCACAATGGAATGCTTTCTGGTCATGAACTATGAAGGAAATACTAAGTGGTTGAGAAATAATATATCAGTAGAGTATATTTTGAAGTAATATGGTTCTAAATGCCTGTTACAACTGAGGTCTTAGTTGTGATAGGAAATAAATCAGAATCTTATGGAGTCTAAGTTGACCTGGAGTTGCATTCATCATTCTGACATCCTCTGACACTACTTCTGATGATGTAGATTGGTAATGGGTTCTTCTTTCCCCTGGCATGGATCTTAGTAGTGTGACTTCATTCAGCAATACATAAGATCCACACTTTACAAAATATGCAATCCCAAAAAAGTGTTATACAGAACATTATATAAATTTTTTAAAAATTTATGTGAGATGTTTCATCTCTATTTCATTAAATAGCTGTCATGTACCTGTACACTGAGCTGTTCTGGTACCAATCCAGATTTTCTGTATGATTGTTCATTGAGTTGATGTTTTGCTGTGTTTTACAAGAGGATGTAATGATACAAACTTGTTCAGAATAGGCAGTGGTGCAACATGGTCATTAACAAAAATACTGCTAAAACTCTAGATTCCTTTTTTTTTTTACCTTTACCTCACTAATCCCATTGAGTGCAGCGGAATGTTCATCAACAGTAATTTAAGACTACTTTCTCCAAAAGAACAGTACCAAGCTAGCTGGTTTTAGGCAGGGTTTTTTTGGCAGGATTGCTGTTGGATGGTGGAGTTGCAACTTGGTCGCCCCAGGGGTGGTAGACATACAACCAGCTGGAGTTCACATTTGGTCACAGTACAGCTCACAAGGTGTCTACAAAGCAATTTTTCTGTGGTGTTCTGGCACGGAACTTACTCTTAAATTATTTTCACCTTGCTTTTCATTGTTGTTGACCCCCTAGACTGTATCTTCAGTTGTGTCGTTATGCACTAGACAGGATACGTACACAAAATATTTCATATCTTTTGTTACTGATTGAGTAAACTTTTACACTTCTCTTAATAGAATTTTAAGGCAGTTTTGTTTTCCTAATGTCTGTTCCTCATATGATGATGCATAAAAGTGATGTGTTCGTCCATTACAGGAACAGAGCAGTCACAGAATCCATGGGGAATAGTTAGCATTGGGAAAAGAGAATTTATGTAGATGTAAGTGGCTTACTCTGAAGGTCATAATTAGTGAGTTTTGTGATTAAAATTTTGTCAACCTTTAAAAAAATGTCTAGAGGCAGTGACTCATTCTATATTAGCATTTACCTCTTTGACATATAAGCCTGTTAAGAACAGCTGCAAAAATCCTTTTAGAAAGTGCCTGAGTCCTGGTTTTGAGAAAAGATGAGGCAAGAGGTGATTCCAAAGGGAAATCCCCTTAGAATATGTCTAAAGTAAGCAAATATATATACATATATTAAAATATTAGAACTGTAGCAAAGTATTTTGCAAGGCCTATTTCTCCTTTTTCCAGGTCTGATTTGGTTTCAGTAGTTCAGTTTATGTTCAGTATTGTTGTCTGTGTATCAGGATTATGCACTTGTCTGAAAGCAAGGTGTTGCACACACTAGAGTTCTGTTAAGCTCCTGACTGCCCTTGAGGTCAGCCAGGATGCTGATAAATTCAAAAAATTGGGTCTTTGGTAAATGTTGTAATAAGAATAAAGTTTAAAGTAAAGTAATGTGAAAATAAAGACATTTTTCTCCCCACATATTGCCTAAAATTCTTTCCCTATTCTTTGATTTTTGAATGAACCAGAAAATACACAAAAATATGCCAAGTGATTTTGTATGTCCTGATTATATAGCTCATTCACAAGTGTACTTTTAAGGCTAGTAATTTCATCTTATTTCTTCTTCATTGATTGTAAAATATGTATAATTATTAAATGTTAGTAGTAATGTTGTATAAACTTCAATTTTTTAGCCTTTATTTTAATTCATTTATAAAAATGAAAATTAAAAATGAATTTAACGAAGCATTGTACTTCTGTGCAGAGCTTGTTTTTGAAAATCTGAAGTAGGGGTGCACCTTCTTCTTGCCTTCATGATTGTGGTTACATTTGTTTGCCTATTTAAAACATTTTACAACATGTCACATAATATGAGAAAGTTTTCCTATTTTCTCATCTTTCACATCTTTCATCAGGAGAAGAAAAAGATAGATAGGCAAAATGGACTTTATGACATACACTAGTGAGACGTATCTTGTTTAATGTAGGCAAATCACAAACTGATCATTATGACAAACACACTTAACAAAATTAATTGTGTTTCTAGGTTCCATGGTTCCTTTCTCCATGCGGATCTTACATGCTGAACTTCCTCAGTACCTTGGTAATCCTCAAGAATCACTTGACAGACTTCATAGTATGAAGATAATCTGCGCCAAGGTAACATCATCTCTCTGCACTAACATTTCTTAATGTTTAAGAAATAAATTTTATTGTCCTTGTAAAGAACATTAAGTTTCAATGATGACTTGTTTTATTCCAATCTTGATGCAAATACGGAGCTTGCTATTAAAAGTAATGAAGTGCCTCTTTCAAGAGACATCCTTCTCACCTCTGTGGTAGCTCTGACTCAAATGTGTAGAATAGGGGACAACTTTTGTGCTTTTGCCAGGTGAGACGTGGAGGACGGTGAGCAGATGTGTTTAAGGGCGAGTAGGGGAGATTTCTTTCCTTCACTCAGCTGAAAACAGTTGTTAATGACCTTGATCCTTTGGAAATAGTCTGGATTTTTCAGAAATAGTCCAAATAGCTGGTTTTGGAAACAACAGTCATTTGGGAATATAAGTACAACCATCTGAATTTGTTTTGGGGGGGTTAGTTTCTTTTGTCAGGTAGTATAATACAAAATTATGGCCTGAATTATAACATGGGATTTGTTGGTGCTGAAATTGGAGTGATGGGGTTGTGAGCACAAACTTTTTCCACTAAAACCAAAATGCTGACAGTAAGGATTTGTCCTTAAATGATTTTTACATCTTTTCCAGGCAGTCTAATGCACCAGTGATTATGCATTGTTACCATTTGATAAACTCTAGAAGAAATGCAACATTATTGCTTTATTTGTGACACTTGAAAGTTCAAAACTATATAAAATAAATATATGCAATTTATTTTCAATATTCCATGGAAGTTTCCTATATTTACTCCTTAAATAACTTGGATAAGAGAAGTGAAGGGAAATGGTAATTGCCAATTGTATAGCTATATGGCCTTACATATATGAAATCAACTTGCTTCTAGCCCAGTAATTGCTAGGATAACCAAATGTTTACAGTAAAAAGTCGAGTTTTTTGTATTACGAGGGGGAAAATGAATGGTTTAGGTAATAAGAAGTGAATGTGGTATTTGTTACAAAGTTTGAAAGAATTGATTTGGAAATGGGTGAGAGATGTCTCAGTTTGGCCAAGAAGTGCCACTTCTTAGCACTGCACGAATACCGTTACCTGTTGATGACCATCTCATCTAATAATATTCCTGGCAAGCTGTCCTCTACAGCCCTTTTCCTTATAAACAGTCCTCAGTTTGAAGTAATTCTGTTCTTCTAGGAAATGCTGTATGCCTCTGTTGCGGGATTTCGTGGTGCTTCTACAAACTAACATTTGCCTACCCTGGTCTGGAGCAGATCAGCTGTCTTGTATCTTTGTTTTATGTGATCTGGTATTAAGTGCTGCATTGTCTGCCTTCAGTCATGAAGGTTCTACTAGATACCAAAAACTGAACTTGTTCATAAGTTCCTTCATCTTGTAACAAAGAGAGAAAACTGTATGAATGTGAAAGAGGGAGCAACTGCTGAGCAAAGGTGCTCATCAGCCATCTGGCAAACTTTATGGAAATGGCCACATCTCAGTTACAGTGTGATCAGCCATGATTCTCCATAGATTAGAGATTCTTGGTAAATAAGAGGAGTGAAAGGAAAGGAAATTAACTCCCTCCCCACTCCTTTGTAAGACCTTTAAGTCATCTACTGCCTTGCACTGTCTGCGTCTGCTCTTTTCCTTAAGTGTATATCCTTAGAGCCTACCCAGTGTACCAAGGAAGCTTTTAAACTATAATACAAGATTTTGTTTGAACATGAGCTAGGCTGATTATTGGTTTAAGTAAGGGAAATTAGATATGCTGGAGAAGATGAAATAGAAGTAAAGGAAAGTTACAAATTATTATATACATATCTCCATGCCTGTTAATTTCTTGAAGACAAGTCTGTTTACTCATTTTCTCACTCCATCAACTGCTAGTTACCTAGGTCACTACAAATTATCCCTTGTGCCCTTGGGGAAAACTTTTTGAGTCTGACTATGTCTTCCACAAGCTCTTCTGAGTAGTCCCCTGTTCTTTGTACTTGATGTTGGTTCACAGACCATCACCTCTTTGTCTTCCTGTGTCTGAGTTTGCAAGGTTTCTCCCAGGGTGATGTGTTCAATTGCAGCAGTAAAAGGAAAGATCTCCCTTTGGTTCTGACACCTTCCACTAGAATTAGGATACAGTAGCCAGGACAAGCCATTGTCTCTGCTGATAGATGCTCCTTTTTAAAGTGCAGTACACAACTACAAAAAAATAAAACATACCATCCATCTCAGAGAAATATTTCTGATCCATTATTCTAGACACCTCATTGGTTTGCATTCTATTAAATACCTTGTCTTTTGGAGCAATTCAAAGACAACAAGAGTATGAAAAAGGACAACTTGTATACATAACTGGTTTTAAAAGGCAGTTGTAAATTGGTGATAATTTAACCATTTGAAGTTAAGGTTGACTGACAAAAAACATTGTATATATAAATGTTTTGATTTTTGTATGGAACACTATTTGTCCAACAATCTCAATCTCAATCGGACCATTCAAGAATAACATTTATAATACTTATAAAAACCCAAGGCAAAACCAAGAAAATAACGTAAAGAATGTACACTCATTATTCTTAATATTTCTATGTGACACTTGGGAACCATTTGGGTTATAACAGAATTAATTGGGGAGCTTTCAACCAAAAGCCTCTAGTGTTTTACTTCCCTATTTTAAAAAGAGGAAAAATAATCTTTGGTCATCTGTATTTACAGAAGGGCATAGGAATAGTCATTATGTAAATGAGATGATCTTGGAGTCATAAAAGCTAGAAGAAAGAAAAGACCTATTAGCTCACCTAGTCTGTCTCTTTGCAATGCAAGGTTGTTTTCTCGATTTTAATGAGTCAGCCATGGAGCTGAGGCCACATCCCCTGGGAGGCTATTCCAGAGTAATGCTAATGCATTCTGATCATAAGAAAATTTGTCTTTATATTTTGTGTCTGTTCCTTAATATAACTATGGGATTTCTTCCTATCTGATACTTGCTTTTAATCTGCTAAATTCCTTCTTGCTTTTTATTGTAAATATTCTACAGACACTTGTCAGCTTTAGATTAGTTATTTCAGTAAAGATGTAATCATATTTATTTTGGTTACTTGGTCATTTCAGCCCCCATCTACTTACATACTTCTGGTACCTGAAAGCAGGATTGGAGGTTGGGTGCAAAAATGATATTTTCATTTTCCATGTATATATTTTTCCACATACGTATTTTCCTGCAATGATGTTTTTACTTTTTCCAGTATTCCTGCAAATTTCTAATCAAGATCTGCTTAGAGATTTTACATCTTTGTCTATAGGTACAACATTTGGGAAAGAAATTATCTGAAGTGCCAAGTGGGTGTTATAGCTTGGGGGAGGAATCCCATGAAATTGTTACTGCCTCTGTGTTATTGCAGGTCTTCCCAACATGAACTGCCTCAGTGAGTTGTTGCCCCTGTAAGTCTGCCTTGAAATAAATGGTCTCTGAACAGCCAGGCAGTAAGAGTAACAATAGTAATTTAAATCACAAAAGGGTTTGTTCTTTTCAAGTGTTCATTTAAAAACATAGGCATAATCACTTTAGTGCTAATAATACTGAGGACATGCTACAAAATGCTTTCCTGGAGACCTAAATGTGAAAAGAACAACAGTTGGGCTTAATCCAAACCCCTCCCTTGTTTGTGCCAATGCTTCCTAGATGTTTGAGGGAGAGCTTCTGGAAATACTCATATCTCATAATATAATGTATTTCACTTTTAAACTGTAGTCCTTCAAGTGCCAGAGCCATATTGGGCTGTTTTACCAGGTGAGTGGAGCAGTGGTAAATGGGTTAACAGTTCTGCTTCCTAAAAAAGCGTCTGCCAATTGTTAGCTCTGCAAAACTTGTCAAAAATACGTTGTGCCATTTGTCCATCAGACACTCTGTAGTTCCACCACTCTCATTCATGAGGAATTATGTTCCTCTCTGGCCCTTCCATACACACTCTTCATATCTCCTAATCTTCCATTTTACTTCTAAATCAGTGAACTTTTCAGTCTCTTAGCTACTGATTATTCTGGGGTTTCATTTTCATTCAGCTTCCAGATCTGTCTCGGTTTCTTAGGTGACATAAGGATTCTGTTTGTCATATGTTATTTAAGTCTAGAGGGTATTTGTCTTGACACCTTGTTTGGTAAGTTTGAAGAAACTACGATGATCTGTGTACCAGTCTGATTACCCAAAAAGCCACCATTCCAGAAGCACCAAAAAAGGCTATTCTGACTAAAAAGCTAGTCCTGATCAAAAGTTATGGGAGAAGGAATAAGGTATTAACAAGAGATACATAAGAATAGATACTAGAGATGCAAATGGTGGTATGAATAGATTAGTAATTCCAGCATACAGGCAATGGATAGGGAATGAAACAGAAGACTCAATGAAGTAATATTAGCCAGTGAAATAAGGATTGTGCATTTATAAATATTCAAAACAATAAAAAGCACAGGTCATATGTAAAACTGTTGAGGTAAATTATAGAAGTGTTCAATCATATTTTTTTTTATAATAGGAGCAGGGTTGGTTAGAGCTATCTCATATGATAATGTTATAATATAGTTTATCAGCTAAATATTTCATATCAACTAACCCCAATAGCTTACACTGAGGAACTGTTGGAATCATTAATGTTACTGTTAAACAATTCTTGAAAAACTGGGGAAATGCCCATATACTGGAAAACTGCAGATGATGTTCTTATACTTAAGAAGGGCAAAAGCGGTAAACCTAGGGAATAAAACAATTAGCCTCAAATCATCACCAAGCTCTGTTTTAATTACGTTAAGTTGAAGTGAGGGCTAGATATCCCCAAGTAATGTCACAGAATGGTTAATGCAATACTCTAATTTTATGCTAATATCTAATTCTTTCCTTTTTGATTATGTTAGTGAGCACATTTTCAGAGAAACTCGTCTTTTTAAACAGGACAGCCTGTCTCCTCAGTGAAGGCCCTTTGTTATGTTTATACCATTTCAGTAGTAGGAACTTTGAGCCTTATTGAGACTGAGAAGCGATCACTAGGTATTTTGTAGGAAAGGAGAAAGATCATGGGGTTTAGACCACAGAAAATAGATTATAAAGTGGTTTGGATTTCTGGGAGAGAAGAAATCTTTTTCTCTGACAAGGTGCCTTATTATACACTAGGCATTTAACTCTGAAATGTGGCCCTTTTGTTTCTAAGTGATTTCTAGGTGGCTACACTGCTTTTGAGAGTCAGTCTTGCAGCAATGCTACTGCCATCTCATAAATTGCCACCTATCAGTGAAGCTGCAGTATCTAATGGTATATGCTCATAGTCTCTCAAAATCTGAGATAAGGCAGCTCAGTCAGCCCTTTGTGAACAAAGTTTACAGTAAATCATACTACCTGGTGTTTGTCATGGGCTAAAAATTCTTATTAGCCTGGCTCAGCTGGCAGGTGGTAACTGCTCTGCTTCATTGCATGTCCCTCCTTGCTCCTTAGTTCCTTGTAGCTAAATTTATGGCACTAACTTCAAGATTTTATTCTAGTCTGTGAAAAGAGCTTGATATCTCATAGAGTAATATCTTCCAGCTTAAGATGCCTAAAATTGGTGGCATGAACTAGCATTCTGGTGGTACTGGTTATCTTCATTGGCTGTAGAAGGCACCAACACATTTTCTGAGGCCAGATTAATTCTACCTGCCTTTGTTTTGGAGGATTTCCTGCACTGATTTTTAAGTGTCCCCTTACGAAGCACTGAGCACAATAGGAATGCTTTGTTGGTGTAGGAAAAGACAATTACTTTTTATACTGACAGAAGTTGAAAGCTCTCTGTATGGAAGTGCGGTCAGTCCCCAGAAGAGGCAGTACCCTGTATTTCCCCTCACCAGCTGACCACAGCAGCTGGTTAAAGAGCAAGTGACCTTAATTTTTTTTAAAGGAAATCTCAAGCATTGTTCTACAACCGAAATTATAGATCTGTAACAGGAAAGGTGGGGTGATCTGTGGGAACTGGAAAACAAATTTGGAGAAACTGTAATGGCATTTAGAAAAGCAGAGTTGACTTGCATTTCAAATGAAGCCTTACATGCATATTTTGAAAGTGCTTAAGACACAAGCTTCATTAAATATATGTTTTCGTTTTTCCAGTGGAACAACAAATGTTTCATTCACTCAACAATTTATATGATTTGAAATCTATGAAAAATTAAAAAGAAGCAATAAACCCCAAAGTTTGAGAAGGAAATTGCAGTAAGAACTAAGAGGAATACTTCAATACAGAGAAAAATATGGAACTAGAGCCTGTACTTAGGCTGGGGGAGTCAGGAGGCGGTGACTTTCTATGAAAAAATCAGTTTGACTTATGTTATGGTCATTAACATCCATTCTCTGGTGAAGCATATTTCATATTTTACTTAACAAAATGTGAATATCCCTAGAGTGTGCTGACATTTAATGTTCTTTAAGTATCATAAACCTGAACTCTAACATCCTTCTACTGTACAATGGCTTTCTTACTTTGTGCACTTGATCTTGCTATGGTAATAACCAGTAATCTTGAACAGTACCTAGGTACAACATTCCTGCATGAATTGGTTTACATGTAGTCTGTCAATTGTAGATAATTTGCATTAAATATATAGTGCTGTTTAAACTCATCTTGGTTACTTTAAAAAATTTACTACAGATATTAGAAAATTTGGAACAAGGCTTAGCTGAAGATGGAAGTATGACTAACATTACACAGGAGAACAGACAAGGTAGGTATTCTTTAAACATTTTTTTCACAGGCAGCCTGCTTTTATTGCTTGCCTAAGTATGCCAGAAGTTTTCACGAGACTACCCCAGAGTGGTTAAAACAGTATTTTTGTAATCTCATAGTCTACTCAGCCCCCAAAATGATACACCTTGTACTTTTATTTGCTGGAATTAATTTCACAGTTTTGCCCTTGATCGAACTGATGCACTAAATCAATTCTTTTTCCTACTTAGAAGAAACAAAGAACATGTCGGCTACCCTTTAGTGATGAATATATAAGTATATTGCTGTTGCAGCTAGATGGATGTCTCATCTTAAGCCTTGGCTGACCTAGTCCTCTCAATCCTCATGTCTGACATCCACTCAATTTTTTCAGATAGAACTGCCATCATACAATGGCTACGCTGGCCTAGGGTGCCACTGCATAGATGGCTCAGTCTCACTGTAGCTGCATCATGCTTAGACTCCTCCAATACCTAAGGCACAAGAAAAAATATGTACATTATGTTGAGCTGCATCATCATTTTCATGATTTTGTATCCAATTATATTTTCTCTTATTCCTTCTATTTTAGCTTCTATTGTGTAGCTTCAATAGTATAGGGTACATTACTGCATAAAAAAGGGTGATCAGGACAAATCAGTTATCCAAGCATTTTTTTTCAAACAGATGAAGTCATTTGACTATACTTGACAGTTGGACAAGAGGTGACATTTCAGGCATTGCTATGGATTTTATGGACCCCTCATAGTGCCTAGCAAGTTTAAAACATCACACCAGAAAAAAAAAAAACCTTTTAGCTTCAGCTAACAGTCTAAGGAATAGCATTCACCTAGAGCCTGTGGGAAGTAAAAGTCTGGCTCTTAGATGGGAAGAAACCAAGTAGAGTTAGTACCAGAGTAAAAAAGTTATTATAAAAAACTCTGTAAAACAGTGTCTATATGGTGCAGACTTCTTCCTGGTCTTCATTTTGACTAGATATAAAAGCATCTTGAATGTTTTACTGTACTTGACTTAATACACCTTCTGTATGTCCAAAGAATATTAACATGTAAGTAGCATATATTACAAAGATATTTGCAGATACAGTTGAATACATTCACTACTCTTCTCAAAAGGGTTAGGAAAAAGGGAAAGAATCTGACATTGAAGATCTATCCATAGCGCTTCAGGAGTTTGTGTTCTTCTGTCTTGTATCTACAATTCTTTTTGCCTGTATTCTACTTACTTTTCCCTGTTAACCCTTTCTACGAGATTTTTGTTCTTATCCCCACATCGTTTCCTTTTTACCACTTTAAAACCAGAATGTTGGTCCCCCATTAAGATACAAGGACTTTTTACTTGATGTGTCATAATCCTGTGTCCTGCAGTCTGCCTCACTCATGAGTGTCTGACTCCTTGCTTTTCCTCTCTGCTGCTGCTTCAGAGCTCAGATGGCCTCAGGAGGAGGCATAGTTATAAAAGCAGCAGCTAGTAGTTACCAAGGGACATGGCTGCAGAAAATTTGGAGAGATTTTTGCATGTCTGCTGTGCAACTGCCTGTAGGTTTAAGACTGCCAAAAAGCCCACGGGACTTTTGCAGAGACTGTTGACTGCTACTGTCTGTAGAGGTCAGCCAGGTCTGCTCCCTCTCTGCTTCCTTGCTGCATTCCCAGCTCCAGGAGGCTGATAATGGGTTTGCTTTCTTTCATCTGAGACTAACTGAAGCAAACCTTATTAACTTTATGTGAAGACAGCCCTAATTCATTATGGGGATTATGCTTAGCCTGTAATTTCCATGCTGCGGGTGTAAGAAGGTGGAACACCAATCAAATTCCCATGTACATCTCCTCTAGTCTGGAAGAGAGCACCTGATTTGCCAGCTTTTCAGCAGGCAGAGAGATTTAGCGTTGCAGCACTTGCCTGGTAACATGTTCTATGAGATGCCAATTTTGCAACTTCACAGGGCACAGGACACCTATTGAAATGAATGGCAGTGTGGAGTACAGAGTCCTTGATGAATAACAAGGAAAAGAAAGTGCTTAGAGTGGAAACATGACTGCGTGGACCTGCAGAGGGGGTTTCAGGCATCTCAGTAACATACAATGATCTGCTGTTTGGTTTTTAGTTTTGTTTACTGCTTTGCAGGTTTTCTTTAACCCCTTCTACCAGTATAAGAATCCTCATCACACAGGGCTACGAGATTTCCAGACAAGGTTCTGTTCAGTTGATATCACAGACTGAAGATATCTGGCCTACCTGCTTTGCAGTCCTTTTTTGACAAGTGTAGCTGGTGCTATCTGATTGTTAACAGGAAATCTAGATGTCTCCAGTGTAGGAATCAACATCTAACTTGTCACCTAAGTCCTAAAAAGCTGAATGTGATTACCAGACTATGAGAACATGCAAAAAAGGAGGTATTTACTTAATAACTCCCCTTTATTGTTTCACTTTATTATGTCCAGGTTTTACGCACACCTACAAAAAAAGAAAAAAGGAAATGTGTCGTAAGGTATTTGCTCATGGTGTACAGCATCCTCACCATTAGTAGCACTAGCAATATGTGGTCAAGGGGGAATTTCTAAAACAAAAAGCTAGAAGTAACGAATGATTTTAAGTTTCAGTGGATAAAATACTGGATTCAGTGTTGAGCCCCATGATACCCCTCTTTTGACAAAGATAATTTGAGAATATTCATGTGTTGGGTTTTTTTGTTTTATTGTTGGAGAGGATTGAGGGAGCTTTCTTTTTTAGGAAGAGGAGTAGACATTTCACCAAGCTCTTCTTATTTGTAATGACATTTTTTTGTGCTGAAAGAATTATCTGTGTAACCTGCCATGCTTTCATCAGAGACTACATTAATGATACAAATGAGTGGTCTCAGTTCTCACAATTTCGTTGAAATAGCCTCTTCTCCCTTCCCCCCACCCACTTTCAAATCATTACAGTGACCTTGACAGCTGATTGACTGAGACACATTTCTTTTTCAAATGTTCTAAATTAATAGTCCTGGAGTTTATTTTTGAGGATTAGAGGAATATTTCTAGTATCGATTTAGGGTACTGTAACACAAGAGAAAATAAGGATCTGTGTGAACCATTCTCTTACAACATCAGGAGTCTGTCTGCAGAGTGAGAGGGAGAAATCTGCTGCTGCAGCTTTTAATGCCTGCAAACCCCAGGAGCATGGGGAAAGCAGACAGACTTGGCAGATTTTTTCCAGCATATCTCTAAGCCAGAGGCAAGCACAAACAGTCCCCAACTCAGACATTTCTCACTCTGCATGTTTTGACTCTGAAATTACATTCTAGCTGTGTTTAATTTTTGAATTTATCACATTTAATGCTGTAGATTAGGTGGTTTTTAACTGATGCTCATTATCACTTGGATCCTTTTATGCACCTTTTGTTCTGATGTTGGAAAATGCGTGGCTTATTTTGGTGTTTAATATTTGGCCTGAGCTGAGAGCTGAGTGGCTGTCTAGTGCTCTGCATTGTTGCATTGTGTTTGTTACCCAGAGCTGCTTGAGCAATTCCCTCAGAGAGATGCAGAATTCTCTGATGCTGCAGCATGGCTGGGAATTAAAAATTCTAGGCTAAAATGCAGTGGTGTTAACGAGGGGGACCTTTCAAAATCATAATTCATAGGACCAGTAATTGATGGCAAGAAAGAACCTCTAATTTATTTGTGCAGATTCACAAGCTGCTCTTATTTTGCAGCCTCTGTTCAGCTGTGGAGGTCACGTCTGGGCCGGGTGATGTACTCCATGGCAAACTGTCTGCTAATGATGAAGGTACGTGGGTGGCAGAACTGCAGAGGTACCGTATATTCCAGAAGAGGATGTCACAGAAAGTGCAAGTGAATTACTGGTGCAGAGATAAGGGAAGACTACCTGACAGTACATGAAGGTTTTGCTGAGTGAAGTATTAATTAGACTTAATAATGTCTTATTTAATAGATAGCTATTTGCAGTAATGTTCTTTGGGAACGTATCTGTACTTATTTCTCCCCAAATCATCCTAGAGAACATGCAATAACAATACAGAATTTGCATTTTTAAATTGAATTTTTCAAACACTTAACTAAATGCTCTAATTAAAAGCAATTATGTGCTCTATCTTTTTCAAACTGCACTAGGAATGTGGCTCTGTTTTTGAGGATTAATAACACTGTAGCCTTTGTAGCTGATGAAGATCCAGAACATCTAAATACATCCTCCCCTGTCAACCAATCTCAGTTGTAATATATCTTCTTTCAAATTTAAATCCTCACCAGTGGGTAGAGGTGGAATAGAAAGGAATAAAAGCAAAAGTGACTAGCCTCCACTGTTGGGTTTTTTTTCCTTGATTCCTTGTTGCTTTTTTAACCAGTTCCACTCCATTTGGTGCAAGGCTCTTAGCTTCTCCTTGTATTCAGGAAGTAGAAATAAAACAACTTCTGCCAATCCCCTCGTGGTCAGGGAAGCAGGGATATGGCCATTCTTGCAGCAAACTGCTGTTATCCTGAGCTTAACTGTACTTCACAAATCAGTTAGCAGCTACACCCTCAGAGCCAGGCCATCAGCAGTATAACCTTCACAGGCCAAGACTTGCACTCCTGGCTCCCTGCTCTTCAACTGCCCAAGATTGTGCCAAGATGTAATCCTTTGATGTTTACTAAGCTACTTCCCAAACAGGGCTCCATTCTTAATATTATAATAGCTCAAAAAGTGTGCTTTTCTTTTTTTTTTAAATATAAGAGCCATTTATCCAGCTTTACATGAAATAGAATATCCTTGTTATGAGAATTAGGGAAAACATACATTTGTTTTCATAATTATATTGTAGTTAAAATATTTCTGTCTTGAATAGAAATAATTGTCCATTAAACCACGAGGTATTTTTAAGAATTAGCAAACATTTGTGTTTTGAGATAGGTACATGACACAGGTTCATTTTTTAAAGAAATTCCTTTTTCAAAAAATAAGTGAAGAAAAGCATGCCTTGCCATCCCAAACAAAGTAGAATATATAAATAAGAAAATGCTGGTATATGTATTTTTAAGAAGTTCACTTTACTTTTCGCTGTGAATTGCTTTTAACTCTTTCAGTGTTTTTCTTCTCATGTACACACAAATCCACATGCATGCACAGTTCTCACCTTCCTCTGGTTTGGTCTTGTTAGTGCTATTTTCTTTGAGTAATAGAAATCTATTTCTGAATACCGATTTCCATCTTTTTGAAAATAATCCTTCAGAAATACTACAGCTCAGATATTTCTTAAGACTAGCTGTATTTAGGGCATATCTCACAGCTATTAATTTCTGGTATTACTTTTGATTACTAGTAATTTTGATTACTTTTAGATTACTAGTAACTTATAGATGGTAACTACTAGATTACATGCAACTGCATGTTGCATTTCAGTGGATTGGCTATAGAGTAGTTGTGAGTCTTTAAATTTTCAGAAATATCCCTAGATTATTATAACATGCAGCAGTGCTATAATCATCTTCTCCACCTTCCATAGTTATCAGCAAGAAACTTTTTCTTCAAATAATTTTTAAACACACTTTTCTAAGTTCTCCCATGAACAATTATATTAATTGAACAGAGTTCCACCTTTTTTTTCCGTTCTGTAATATACTTTAAAAACTGCATTTGTTTGTATTCAAGTATTTCAACTGTATATAGTTTAAGAAAAAAAACAAGTTAATTCTCCAAGTCAGCGCCATCTATTGCCATCTAGTGACCACTCTCAATATTGCAACAGGGTTGTGTGTGATCCCCAGGTACTGTGCGTGATGGAATACCTTGTGCTAGTAGTAGATTTAATAGTAATAATTTATTAAAGTAAAACTATGTAACATCGGTATAAAGAAAATAAAAACTTGCTATCTTACTTTAAGTTACCTCTTTGGCCAAAAAACCTGTAGTAGTAGTTAATCTTGTCAGGATTGATGCTTGAAAATTAAAAAAAAAAAAAAATTTCTATTAGATATTGGCCTTATAACTATTTAAATCTACTTTAATTATTCTCAACTCCAATTAGGTTTATTTCATGTCATGTCTGTTCTGCATTACTTACCTGAATCAAGGAGTTCTGTTTATATAGCACCATGATTTTTGCCCTTTTAAACATGGCATCCTTGGTTTCATAGTTAAGCATCTCATTAAATTATTGAGATGGTATATTATTTTGAACGTAATGAGTGAAGTGCAAGGAGGTGATTCACCCAGACTTGTGCAGGAAACCTGCAGTGGAACAGGGAATCAGTCACATCTCCTTTAATCCTGGGACTATCTGTCCAAGGTACTGAATTAGCCTGCTGTGTCCCTTTATCTGTGAGACCAGTGATAGTTCAGTAGCAATTTAAGGCAGTCTTAATATACCTTTTTTTCTCAATCATCGCCCTTTCTGTGCAAGCTTTCTTAAATGGATTCCAGCTTCCTTCCATGCACCACTATTGGACTTAACCAAATGAGGAAGAAATCATGGATCTCAATCATATCAACTGATATCAAACGGCTTTCCCATTTCCTGTGAACAAAGGGCAGCTTAAGGAAAAGGATGTGGAAATACAGCAGGAAGAGAAGGGGAGACCATGTAACCTGTCACTGTAGGCTTCCATTTGTAAGAACTGTGGGTTTAAGTTACTATGAAACCGTATCCTGAATGTAGCAGCATGAGGGAATATTCATTTAAAATGCAACTGATGATGTGCATTGCTTCATTTCAACTCTAATTGCAAAATGTCTGTCACTTTACTAAATCACCGTGGAAGTGTCTTGAAAACTTTTAAAGTTCTTTTCATCTGAGCTAAAATCGCTTTTGACATTATTTTACCAGACTTTTATCTCTCTAAGGAATAAACACTGAAGTATTTTCCATATATGTTATAAATGCACTCTAATTAAAGGCACATTTTGGGCTTTTTAGGTTTTTTCAGTGTTGTCTTAGCTTTTGTAGAACTTGCCCTTCGTAAAACAAAAGCATTAGAATTGATTTTAATTTAGGTTTAATACAATTAAAACTGTACCAAGAAGTAACAGCTTGTGCTAGTGACGCAAGGAACTGATGCCGAAGGACTTTGGTTCCTCTATGATTTAAAGGAGAAAGACTGCATGAATCATCATGTCTTTTGCCTAACTGTGCTGCAGTACAGCTCTTTGGATTCACAGCACTGTGAATCTCTGCTTTCATAACCTTTCCACAAGCATACAGTAGACAGAGAGGAAGGGTAAGGTATCCTTGTCCTCTTTCACCTAAATAAAGTATTTATGAACTATACGCTTTCTATAACTAAAGCTGATTTTTAGTCTAGGGTTTATTGAACCTACTCTCAGAATTCTACACATCATGGACATTTATTTCTAAATATTTCGTAATTAATATTTTAATTAGTTAAGATGGTGATGAGGGAAACATGGAAGTGTATAATGCAGTGACCACGAAGGGAAGTACAGTTAAACTGCAGTGCATTAATGGAAAAACATAACCTCAGCTGAAATATTTGTGCAAGTAGGTCCAGTGAGTTACTAAAACTACTTTAGATTAGTATAGGTAATGTTAGCCCCAAATTTTCATAATAAAAGAGATATTGTGCTATAAAACAATAGGCCAACTCTCATTTATGTCCTGAATTGCGTAACTTCAGTCCCTCTTTTGGGATTTTTTTTTTTCATGAAGGTGTGAAAAATCTGAAGGCTCTTAATCTTTAGAAATTAAATACCATGATAATACATCAGCCCTAGCTATAGTCTTTGGGATTTTTACTGGCAATGCTTAATGTGTTTTACTCCTTACAACTATGCCTTGTATTAATCAAGACATCACTCCTCTGAGGCACTGTGTATTTATCATTCTATCAGACAATTTCTGTTGTATTAAGTACATTAGCAGAACTGTGAATGACAACAGTCTTTAGTAAGTGAGATTAAATATCACCTATTTTACAATATGCCCCATCAGAAGGAACTGCCAGATAAGATGCCTCTGTAACTCACACAGAATAGTATAATTCTGTATCCATTACCAGTAATAAGTGTGAATATGTCATGGCACATTAGATTTGGAATAAACTCTAAATGCTAGTAATTAATTGTTCAGAATTAATGATTATACCCACAATATACAAGTTGTTTGCAAGGTCCTGCAGAGTGCTTCCTGGGCTATTTAAATCAGCTTCTGCAATTCTAGGACATATAATTTCTCTCATATACAGATCGCACTCCAAAGACTTGTCTTGATTTCTGTTTATAAGAGACATAACGTTCCAAAGAGAATGGTTTGGGTTGAAACAGACCTCTGAAGGTCATCTAATCAAACCTCCCCCCTGCCATGCACTGGCACATCTTGAACTGGATTGGGTTACTCAGAGCCCCAGCCAATCTGACCTGGAATGTTTCCAGGGATGGGGCATCCACTACCTCTCTAGGCAATCTGTTCCAGTGTTTCATTACCCTCACTGTGAAAAATTTCTTCCTTATATCTAGTCTAAATGGACCCTTTTTTAATATAAAACCATTACCCCTTCTCCTGTCACAACAGGCCCCGATAAAAAGTTTGTCCCCATCTTTTTTATAATCCTATTTCAAGTACTGAAAGGCTGCAAGGAGGTCTCCCCAGAGCCTTCTCTTCTTGGGCCTTAACAACCCCAACTCTCTCAGCCTTTCCTTATTGAGAGGTGTTCCAGCTCTCTGATCATTTTTGTAGCCCCTCCTCTGGACCTGCTCTAACAGGTTCATATTTTTCCTATGCTGAGGGCTCCAGAGCTGGATACAGGACTTAGTACTTTTAAGTACTTCAGAAATCCCTAAAGCATCCTTAGGAAAAGAAATTCATTACACCTGGGGAACATTGCCTCCTCAGACTAAGCAGGAGATAAGAAAAACCACCTTTGCTAGTAGCTGTGATCACATTAGGGAAAAGTTAAATGAGGACTGTAATTTGAGCAAGAAAAGTGATAGGGTAGAGAGTATTCCAAGATGTCCATGTAGTTTTGAAAGATTGTTCTTTGTTGTCTTTTACTTCCTAACATCCACCACAAATTCATGTATTAAGTTGAAGGGCAGGACTCTCAGGAAGCACCAAATTATTACAGCATGGAGAGTCTTCTGCCTTTGCATAGCCTGGCCTTGATAAGTGAAGGCAGGCACTTTCCGCCTCTGCTCATGGTCTCTCCAAGGAGCTGTAGCTTAGGCTGGCACAGCGCTGTGAGTGTACCCACAGCGTGTCCTCAGTCAGCACAGAGCACATGCAGTGTTTCTCACGTGTGCCTGCCAAACTCCGTGTAGCCAAGGCTCTGAAAGTCAGGTACTGCCCAGGTCACTGAATTACTGTAGTTTAACCGTGAAAAGCTGGACTGCAGGAACCAGTCACAAGGCCATTTCTTTCCTATGAGAAATGGGACCATGGTTTTGTTTATTATTTTGTCACTGGTCGTTAGCTGGAGGGTACGGTGGCACTGCATCTTGAGTAGGCAGATCTCAGAGCTGCCCTTTGCGAGCACAGCCTTCATGCAGATGGGGAGTGGTATCACTTGCAAAGCTTTCTGGAAATCAGACCCAGCCCACCCCTCACTTAGTTTTAGCCCAAATCAGTTTTCTATTTAGATTACCTCTTTTTATGCAGTATGGTAGAAAAAAATCAACACTTTAGGTGGAGAGACAGAAAATGTCTAGTTTCCCTTGGCAATAGTACTAGTTTGTAATCTGAAAATGTGCAGAACTGCAGTTTCTGTCATGCGATGTTGTTCACAAGTCTGTGCACAGGCAGTTCCTAAAGCTTCAGAATATAGTTTGTTCAGCCATGTAAATCAAATACATATATTTGAAACATGAGACATTTCTCAAGTATGTATAACCCCAGTCACAGAGAGGGTGCTTGACTTTCATCCTAAATCATAATCTAAGCTGAAAAGTAAATGTTTCGGGTTTTGGCATTCAGCTACAAAAAGAATACGATCCAGTTAAAAAAACGGGAAAAAAAGATCCCCTGTGTATGCAGTTCCTGTATAACTGAGAAAAGACCAATATAGTCAGCTAATAGTGCCTACGGTGATTGATAAAAATTTTGTCCCACTGACAAGTTGCAGTTACTTTAATTCTGTGTGAGTATTTCTTTAAAAAGAAGTCCACATAAAGGGTGAAGAATGCTGATCTTAAATACCTGATTGTATGCTTTTTACCCTTAGGACTATGTGCTTGCTGTAGATGCTTACCACACCGTCATCAAATATTACCCACAGCAAGAGCCTCAATTGCTGAGTGGAATTGGAAGGATTTTCCTTCAGGTATGCATTTTATTCTAAATTTGCTACATAATATTGCTGTTGATAGCTATGTAGATAATAATTGTGGCATTTAAAACTATAGCTGTTTTTATAGGGCACATGTCAAATTGTAGAAACAGTGGTCAAAACAAAACCCTTCTACCATGTGATATTAGATAAAACTAGGAAATACGAAGCACCTCTAGTATTAAAAGTGTATTAGCAAACAAAGAACATGCTGTAGAAAATCATGCTGGTAATTAATCAAAAAGTAACATTCTGCTTTCTCTAAAACTAGTGGTAAAGCTCCACTGATGTCAGTGAGCCAGAATTTCACTAAAAGTCTCATGTCTCACTGCCTCAGACTGCATGCAGCTCTCAGTCACACTGTGTAACTGCCATCTTCACCTAGAAAAAAATCTGATTGTCCTTCTTTTGTCCAGATTATAACCCTGAGAATACAAGAGAGGGCACATTAAAAAAAAAAAGGACAGTACAAGTATAATAAATGTCCATGTAACCATACTTAATGATTATAAGTAAAAATAGATGTCTTTTTGTTTTTCATAAAATGATGCATATAAATAGCTATCTGATTGTTTTAACTCTTAGTATCTTGCAAGTTCTTTGCAGTTCTTCCATATTTCTGATACTGATATTTCAAACTTTTTTATTATTAGTGATAAATCTAATTTTGAGTTGTCAAGTATTTACCCGTGATCTTATTTGTGACATTCATGTTCTAAAATTATATTGAAATGGAGTAATTTCCTCTTGATAGATAATTGTTAATATTATTTGCTTGAAATCATAGAATGTCATTCAAATTCAATTAGGGATTTTCAGTTCTCAGCAGGAACATGCTTGCACAGTGTGGTAGGCGTGTCTGTCTTTAAAAGTCTCTAGTTTAAAGTGGATCTCCATCACTATAGAACAATTTTATAATATTGGCTGCATGCATTAATTATTATCTAAATAGGCAACGTTGTAATTATGCATATTAATGAACAGTACTGTAAATATGCATAATACTATTGGAAATGGAAGTTATTAATAGTTCTGGTCTCACTGGGAAAATGACTAGGTACATTACTGGTACTGCCTTGCTGAGGAGAGTGTATGCCCTAGTGTCACACTCTCCAGTCTGTTTGTAGCTCCATTTGCTATAGAAAAATTGTCACTCTCAGGGGGAAAGTGTCTCATGACTCACAGAGTCATTTAAAGGCATTGACCTCCATGGTTCTAGCTGTGACAGCAGGCCTTTAGGGCTCAGTGGTTCTACTGTCAGAACTGCACATAGTAAAAGGGGGTACAAGGAGTCCTGGATGTTTTCATGTGATCTAGATAGAAGTTAAAAAGAATTCCTTCTGAATGCAAATGTTTTCCTTTCTTCTAGCACCTTGAGGAGTTAAGGTTTTATTGTTCCTCTTGTTGTCTTTTTCTGTGGCACAATCTTCAGCTCTGTCTGGGCGGTACTATTGCAACAGATGCAAGATTTTGATATATTAAGAGAAATAGGCAGTGTGCAGGTAAACAAAGCCAAGAAGTTCAAATTAAAGAAAGACAAATGTGTTGCAGGCCTGGGCACCATCATTTTGGTAAGATCACTCTGTGGTGTGTGTGCACAGTTGACAAGGCAATCTCTGGAAAACAAATAAAATGTCTTGCAAGTAAAATGGGAAAGCAATTTTTTTGTATTCAAATGTTACAGCTTTTCAAAAACAGGTAGTGATTCCTAAATAACCACAGACTGTGCTGTTAACTGAACTTTTTCCAAGAGAGGCATAAGGGAGCCAGATTCCAGTTGTTTATCAGCCTCAGATACTGTTTGACAATAGACATCACAGATATGAAACAAAACAGTAATGTAGAATGAAGTGTAATTCGGGAGTTGAACAGAAAAAAATTATAATCTTTCTCAACATGTAAAATTTTATGTGTGATTTATTTTTTCTTAATTAAATTGAGATTACTAGTTTATGGCATCATATCTTCTTTATCTTTACACGTAAGTGGAGCATAAAGAGTTCTAAATCTGATGTGTAGCCTTTAGCTGTTACCTTAAGTGGAAAATGAGGATCAGAGAAGTGGAGAATGCAGGAAAAGACAGAGGCTGTCACAGAGAAATTTTCAGAAGTACTGTAATTCTGTCAGCAATCACCTGCCTGGTAAAACAGAAATTCACATGAAATGAGGAAACGCATTTTAGTCTCTAAGATTACATTGTGTCTTGCTAATAGACTCTGCTCATTGACCAACCTATCCAAGTTTGCCATTTAAATAACTACATTAAATAATTTAAAAAATAGAAAGGCTGCCTGACCTTACCCTTTTAACAAATTGCTGCAAAACAGAGTCAAAAGCAATAAATAAATCCTAGGAGTATGTAAGAAAAATAATCTCACTTTCCAGACAAACAGCAAACTTAAACACATAATATATTGGAGGATCCTTATTAGAGATTATGATTATTTGAGGTTAACAATAGAATTTTCATTTTTATTTGATGTGTTAATTATGATTAGATACTGAAATCACACTTTCTGAACAAAGTTAAATAAAATTAAGTGATGAAGATAGACCACTTTAAACTTTAACATTTTAATGACTAATGAAAACTAATTATTTCTTTAACTGGTCTTCCTTTCCCACCCAAAAAAAAAAGGAAATTGTTTCCCCTCTGCTGGAATAATGAGAAGAGTTGGGCATGTTTTCTGAGAAGATACAAGATGCTGCTAAGAAATGAGAACTCTTCGTGAACACAAATAATGTGTGATTAGTCTCAAAGCATATTAGATTTGGACTCATCAAGCTCCCAGTGGAGCAAACTGGTAGCTTGCTTTAGAAATTGATTATTCTCATGGCTAAGGAATTCCTTCTAATTTCCAGGCTAAAAATACTCAAGGACAGATTCATTTACACTTGTGCCAGCATTACCCTCCAGTTAAATGTAATTATTTTCTTGGTGATTTACATCTTTAATGTTATTTATAGAGGGAAATTGTATCCTTTGACGTTATAACTGAATGGATAAGATTTTAGAATGAGTGTTTTTTTTTGTTTGAGTCCAATTGCATTACACCTGGGAGAAATGCATCTGTTTCATGAGATAAGACTGTTAATGGGTATTCCAGAAATGCTTGGTAGGTGGACAGTTGGCTCTTTAACTGCAGTGTTCAATTGGATCATCTCTTAAATGTAAAGAAGAATAATTTCTTTATGTTGACATATGTTGTGGTTAGAGGTAAAAGCAGTATCTGTTTAATATTAGTGGTGTTAGTAGGGCTTTGGATACTTGCCACTATGATGTTCCCATAATCAAATTGTGAAGAAATCTAGATGAAGCCTTCAGGTGGATATTTGCTGTCTCTGAAAAGTGTACTTGTAAAGTCATTCACTGATGACTAGAAGGACTTCCTAGATGATCTTTTCCGCAAGGATCTCTGTAGGCTTTGTAGTATTTGTTTTTTTTGGTTAGGTACTTGTATGATGAAATGAGAAGCACATTTGTAAAAAGTACAGATGATGCCAAGCTGGGAGTGATACAGACACTAAGAAGGGCATGATCAGAATGCAAAATAATCTTGACAAGTTGAGAAACTGAAATGTTAAATTGGCTCTGATTCAAACAGCAAAAGGCAAAATGCTTCCAAAGGCTGGGAGTAATATACAGAATGGGAAGCAACAATAAGGCACTGTTCTGTAGAAAGGAACTAGGTTAAGGGTAAGAAAATACACATGGGTAAAAAAATACGTCTTCAAAATACCTAATGTAAAAGCAAACTCCATATTCACATGTGAAATATAATATGATTCTTCCATTCTCGCTGCTGGAGAGAGAGTTGGAGTGTTGTGACCTTTTGGGTGGACGCCTGGGGAGGATGTGAAGTAACAGGAGAGAGTTCAGAGATCAAGAATGATCAGAGAAACCAGAAAGCATTATCTATGAGAAAGGGGTGAACCCTGATTTGCTTGAAAATGAATTCTTATTCTAGTAGGAAAAAGTAAAAATTTTCAACTATGTTAAAAAAGAGGACTTGCATAGTTCTTCCTGACCACTATGAACAGGACAAAAAGTTGAGGTAAAAACTGCTGTAAAGTAGAGTGTGTTTTCTAATCCTAAGGCAATTTAAGAGTTCTGGATAAGTTTCCCGCTAAGACTCAGACGTGTAATACTCACTATATGAGAACTTTAAGGAGACTTCAACACATTTGTCACAAACATTTTTCATAGTGTTGTCCTGTTCTTGAACAAACAGGTCATCTCTTGAGGGCTCCTGGAATCTCCTCACCTGAGGGCTGCTTGGTTTTCATGGCTGTATGCTTTGAACTAATTTATTTTTACTCCTTTTGATAGATCCTGATAGATTTATTTTACTTAAGACTAAGTTGTTGTCTTCTTCCATCTCTCCAACCTGAAAAGTACACTGCTAATTTATTTTCCAAAGGGGCCTTCTTCAAATATTTTTTTTTCATCTCAAATATCAATGTATGTGACATACTCTTAAGTGAAACACCCCTACCTTTCTAGAAATCCCCTTGTTCATCCCCTCCTCCCATAAAATCTGTACTTCTTTATGTCAGCTTTCAAGTCTCTTCATTCCTTCAGCCTGCACAATGCACTCACTGGTGTTTTTTAATCTGCAGATGGACTGTCTCCCCAATAACCTCAGTGGCCCATTGCACTGGGGTTGTTTTGTGACATGCTGTGGTGTGTGGCCCCTGGCTGTGGCCCAGAGGCTGTTGGTTAACCAGGTGTGGGTCTTGTGCTAACTATAAGACTACTGTATTCCATTTCTCCTGCCTTATTGACAGCTTCTGCCTGTGTCTGTTACTTCCTGCGGAGTAACGCCCGGTCTCACTACTGGTGACTCTGACCTTGTCTCATTTTCAGCTACTTTATGAACTGTGGAGTTGGTTACAACAAAAGAGCCAAATAAGGATTGTGGAGCCTTCCTGCCCTACTGTCCATGAGAGCTCCACAACCCCCAGCTGAGGCCTTAGGCCAAGTGCACATGACTTTGGGATGCTTTCTGTGGCCTTAATATGGCTCTTCATTATTTGATAACAGGTGTTACCCAGTTGTCTTGGTGCCAAGTGATTGATAATGGACTTTGATGTGGTTTGTATGTTTTGTGTCTCACATCTTTCTTTGTGAAAGATATAATCAGGATGTATCTCTTTTCTTTTATTCTGGTAACTTTCTTATGATTTTTCTGTCTAGATTGGAGACATAAAAACTGCAGAAAAATATTTTCAAGATGTTGAAAAAGTGACTCACAAATTGGATGGACTGCAGAGCCAAATTATGGTTTTAATGAACAGGTAGATAATTTAATAGCTAAATAAAACATTTTAAAATACAGTTTTGGAAAGTATGCAACGTGATCATTAAACTACCCTTGAGACAATCCTGTTCTCTCTCTTTTATGTGACTACATCTGTCATAAGTGAGACTGAATGGCATACAGACCCAGGAGATCTGTATTACTTGGTACAGTCATATTATCCTCCATTGAAATTGTGATCCTTCAGTTGATTTTACAAAGCTTTTTCTCATTCTTCCAGGCATTGGATATTTTCACTCTGCTTTTCCAATATACATTTGCATAAGTAACTCCTAGGAGAGGAGAAGCTATTTTGGGCCTTTATCCTACAATTAGATCTGCCAGGGAAGTTACCACCTGGTAGCTTCAAAGCATGCTTGAATGCATTGTAGTAAATGGAGCTGCGTGATGGGGGACTCAGTTTGCAGTGGTTAGCACATGGGCTTAATATATTTAGAAGATGCTATTCAAAAGTGCTCTGAAAAAGATACGGCTAATTTCATGAAGAGAATAATTCCAGGAAGAGAGTATCTGCATTTAAATTACTAAAAACACAATGAAGACTGTTGCTTTGGTAGGCAGAATATATAATAGCTGAGTGATCCAAGTTGTCATTCCATTTGTCTGTAAATCAGTGTCTCCTTCACACCGTGAAGAACAAATGTCAGAAACTCTCACATCTAGAACAGGAAAAATAAAAAATGGTGTCCATTCTTTTTTAAATGTATTATTACCTTGGGTTTTTGAGGAGAACTCATTTATATGTCACTTACTTTCTAGAGCATTTCTCCACCTTGGTCAGAATAATTTCTCAGAAGCTCATCGATTTTTCACAGAAATTTTAAGGATCGACTCATCAAATGCTGTGGTAAATCTCCAAATTGCTACATTTATAATGAACATCTAAATTATTCTCGTAATACTTCATGCATGGATTTAATTAGTACCCAGAGTATGCTCAGAGCTTTATAGAAAAATTGGATGTGGCGTGTGTTTTCAGTATACATAAGGATAAAATGGAAAATAGGATGAGAAATTAAGAACCAGTCCATATGAAGGGCATGAATACTTAGGCATGCACATAGAAATTCTGAGACGCTCTGTTTTATGGGATCTTCGCAAAAGCACTTTTTTTTTTGCAGTCACTGTTTTTAGTGTAGATATGCATGTCAGGAAAAGAAATGGCAGCTCTCAACATGTATAAGATTAACTTGATTTCACACAAAATTGAAGGGATGTTTTAATTTTAAACATGATATTTTTAACACATTACATATCAGAGCCTTGGGCTCCCGTCACAAGTAGACAGCAAAGAAGAGTTGTTTATTTACCTCTGGGGTTTCTACACCTGGCAGTTTTCAGTGCATGGTCATGTAACAGTATTCCTAAGAAGTCAGCTTACCCCCAATAGTCTGATCCAAAGCCACTTAAAGACTGAGGGGACTGAGTTTAAGAAGCACATGAGTTGCATCATTTTGCAGGCTGTAAAATAGTGTGTATTATAAATCACAAGAGGTTTCCTGAAGGGAAAGAAAAATATTTCTTTTAAAAGGCCATGTTCTTTCTTTATCTGCAGCTTTCAGAAAGTGTGAAAGTTTCTGCTGCTGTACGTTATATGACTTTGTACTGTTAAAATTGTTCGGTAACTCATAAAACCTGTTCTGTGTGGTAAGGAAAATGGAACCTGACTTGATCATTTATGATGTATTTAGACGGCCCTATCTGCTGGATTTACTTGAAGTCAGTTGTAGATACCTTTGTGATAAGACAGTATCTTCCTCTTGCTTATGTGGATCTTCTATATGTAAGCCAGAGAGAAGAACACTTCTGAAGATGCAGGAAGTCATTAATAAAAAACCCTATGGAAATGACAGCATGCAGAGGCTCATGTAGTTTCTGAAATTTGTTTCACTTGGCTTTCAAAATTAACTAATGTCCTATACTATTTATATTTCAATTTAGACTCTGTCTTTTAGAGTTTCAGCTCTTAGAAGTCAGCAGATCCTAACTGGCACAGGGTAGATCTTGAGAATAACAAGAAGAAAAGGATTGCATTGTATAATTGATAATGTGTTTTAGTTTTGCATATACGCAAAAAAAAATAGTAATTCTTAGCATATAGTAAATCTGTTGTAAATCCAGATGTTAGACTTTTTTCTTTCATCGCTTGTAAATACACATATATATATATGTATCCACACACACACTTTATTTACAATATATTTTTCTCTAGGCAAACAACAATGCTGCTGTTTGTCTTCTTTACCTGGGAAAACTGAAGGATTCCCTTCGGCAGTTGGAAAGAATGGTTCAGCAGGACCCTAAACACTACCTACACGAGAGCGTTCTCTTCAACTTGACCACTATGTATGAACTGGAGTCGTCTCGCAGTATGCAGAAGAAGCAGGCACTTCTAGAGGCTGTCGCTATCAAAGAGGGTGATAGCTTTAATACTCAGTGTCTCAAATTAGGATAGATCATTTCCAACTAATTTTTTCCTGCAAAGAAACAAAATTAAATTTTTTTAAATTGTATATACTCTTGCTGATGTGTAAATGTGAAATAAAATCTATTCAATTATTAATATTTAGTGGCATTAGTACAGAATCTATTGGCTCTATACAGACCTGTCATTGTAAAGACTTTGTGGTGACCTAGAGCCAGCTCCATCCCTACAAGTCTATTACTGTTCAGTTATTCTTCACTACAGTGCACTATATATATGTGTATATATATACAGTCAGCTATTCAGATTCTTTTGTAAGAAAAACTGAATTTGACCTTATATTGTCTTGATTTTTCAGTAGCTGGTGAGCAAATCACGAGCTAATTTCATCAGCTAAGAGTTACTGACGGAATGTCAGTACGTGTATTACAGAAAGGAAACTCTGAATGCACTTCTCTTCACTTGCATATACTGCGTGTGTCTCATGTCCCTATCAGACTCCTGGGTATTGCACCTCTGTGTGTCCACAGCTCTCAGAGGAGGTTGCTCAATAACCACCATCCAGCCACAGCATGGCTGAGGTTGGAAGGAACTGCTGAAGGTCATCTTGTCCAAGCCCTTAGTGGTAGGGTTGTCCAGGACCATGTCCAGAGAGCATGTGAGGGAGCCGTACAGTCCCGCACAGTGTCAGTTTCCCGCAGGGACTGTATTAAGTGATCTCCCTATACTTCCTTGGTTTTGTGTTGCAATTAAATCTTTCAGATTAAAACATTTGGATTCTGGAAAGCTGCTCCACTTTGGCATTCTGCTGGGCAGAATACTGTCAGTTAAAGCAGAAACTCAACCCAGTTCAACTCAGTTCCTCTCCTTTCCTATTATCAAACAAAAACATTGTGCACAAAGTGTTTCCCCAGGGAAAGTGATGCAGAACCTGAGGCAGATGTATCTGTAGGTTAGGCCACGCAGAGTGGAAGCAAATGGGGTGCAGACACAAGGCATTTTATCAGTGATGCAACAATATCTGCATACGCTGATTTTGGCATCCCTTGGAATACAGATTTTTTAGGAATCACAGTACCACTGTGGTATCAGTGCATTTCACATTTCTGCTTGCATTTCTCCCTTCATCTTTATTGTAACGATTCAGTGCAGATACTCCCACTCTTTGTACATGAATACAATACATACATCTGTTCATTTGGGGGTTTTATTGTTTTGAGATTTAATGTTTAGCAGTTGGAGTAGCTCCTTGTCATAAATCACTGGCATGGGACAATTCTGTAAGTGTGTTATATTTTTTAAGACCACATCCATCAATTAATTCTCAGTCTCTTTAAATACACCCACCTGTATTTTTTAATAACCAATAACTCATTTTTATGCTTGTCCATCTGGAGATACTGTACAGGGGCCAAAGAGTTGTCCTCAAAAATCAGGTTGTTTAAAAACTTCTGCAGTCTAGACGTGCAGAGAAATAAGATTTGGTCGCCTCAAAAGACATAAGCTTGCAGCTAATACAGAGACAGAATTTCCTCCATTTTTACAGGATGTTTATGTTTTACAGGTCATATTTGTACACTGAAACATCAGCTAGTTATGTACCAATCAGCTGAAAAAAATATTCAGTCAGTTGGTATTTCTGTTTCTGGCTTGGCCTCTAGGTTCTACAGCTGAATCTGAGCTGTGCAGCACCTGGGTAGACTCATCCTAAGGTACTACTACTAAATTAAATGAAATATTCAGTACCACCTGCTTCAGCTGGGTTTAAATACCATTTACATAACTTCAATGAGTAATAAAATAACAAAAGCAGCTACATTTGCATTATTATTTATGAGGTTTTACATTTGTTTTAAATACTGCTATGATTTTAGACAAGATTTAACAGTAATTGGACAAATTCTCCATTTACATTGTTACAAGTGAGTTGAAATCACTGTAGTTTTCATTTGTTACAGCTGTTAATCTGATCTGGTATGTTACTCACTGTATTCATTATTAAGTTATTTTAGTAGTATGTTTCCTCCACCACAGGTCACTTTTCTTAGGCATGGGGTTTTCTTAGGAGACAAAAAGAAATGCTGGTCTGTGACCACCGTTGTTCTCAAAGACTTTGAGAGCCCTGAACAATCTACCAGGGCATGTAGTGATAGGACAACAGTTTTAAACTAAAAGAGGGTAGGTTTAGATTGGACATAAGGAAATTATTCTTCATGATAAGGTTGGTGCAGCACTGGAACAGGTTGCCCAGAGACTTTGTAGACTCCTCATCCGTGTAGGTGTTCAAGACCAGGCTGGATGGAGCTTTGAGCAGTCGGGTCTAGTGGAACGTGTCTGCCCATGGGAGGGGGTTCGACTAGATGATTTTCAAGGGTCCTTTCCAACCCAAACTATCCTGTGATTCCAGTTAAAAATTTTTACAGTGACATGTAAAATAATACAACAGAGATTCACGTGCATTTAGCTGTTGTACTATCTTCTACACTCAGGAAGCTTCATTCGTCTGTTCCAATACTAAGTGAAAGTAGCATGATCCGTCATCATCCAGCATGCTGAAGTCACTTGCCTCTGTACAATCAAAGGAGTAAAATGCTTCCTTTTTTGATTCAGTAGTGCTTGATACTGCACATGTAAATGACAGCCTGTGTTCTGATCGGCAGAGAATAAAAATTTATTATCCTAGTCAGAGTCGAATAGCCATTAAAAAAGAAACACTCTGAAAATATAATCCCCTGTTCTCCAAGTTTCTCTACATTCTAATTCATGTGTACTACGACATAGGTCTCACTTCAGTATGTTTGCTGTGTTCTTATTAGTAGAAGCTTTTACTTGGATAAAAATGCCATTAGAGGAGACTTGGACTGGGTGACCTCTAAGCTCATGAGCCATTAAACAAGTGACATCCTGGTAGACTTGCAGAATAATTAAAATTTAAATGCAAAGGCATATTGTCACTGCTGGATGTATGCAAATTGTTAACTGTTTATGAAATGCAGAAAAGACTGTCAATGTCACTTTATGGCTTGGATTTAACATATATCCAAGTTAAGTGTTTGAATTCCTGATACTCTTCCAGTAACACATTTAAATGCTCTATGTGATGTTAAAGCATTAAAGCTAAGGACAAAATTTGTCCTCAAAACATTAATTACACCAGGCAATTCTGTTAAATTCAATGAATTCAGCTGAATTTAATGAGGGTTCCTGGTGTAAATGAGGGCAGAGCTCAGTTCTAAAACACAGCATGCATGTGTCATCTGGCTAAGTGAGAAAAGCAGTGGAAAGCAGTGCCTGAATGAGCTGATTGTTGTATTCAAGTCTTAAAGCCTAATGTGCTTTAACAGAAGTTTTGCATTTAAATTTCCACTTTTATTAAAAGAGGAGCAAAGAAGCTGTACTTCAGACATTCAGATAATTGCATTATGCACAGAGACCCTGATCCTCAGAAGGATTTGAGCATCTTTCTGCTCTTTCTAATACCTAATTTCAGTTCAGGTGATAATGGCATCCCCTAACCAGCTGGTCATTTACATTTTCCCGGTGCCTCAGTTTTCGGGCTGGACCCGTTAAATGTTCCCCAAAAGGCATGTGCTGATGTGCCTGAGACTCTACAATAGACTTCAGCTAGTGTACTGGAAAGGATGATGATTCCTCTACCTACACCATCCTTCATGTCAGCAAGAGCACTCATGTGCAAGCTGGATGAGTTCACTGACCCGGTGGAAAAATTCACCAAGCCAACGAACACCCTCTTCAGATTCCTCTTCAGCTTGAGGCTTTCAACACAAGGATGTGCTCGGAATTGCCACCCTGCCTGGGTAGGCTGCTGTTTTTTCTGCACTATAGACCTAATAAGAAGTAGACAGACAACCCTTCTCTCAAGCCTTTGTTGCAGGTGTTCTGCAAATCATAATCAGAGAGGGGGATAAGCGGGGTATAATCTGTATGCACAGCTAAGCTATGACTCTCTTATTTGTACATCATCTGATGTGCTTCATGGACCACATGCGTTGTAGGTGTCCAAAAGAAGATTGCAAGATGGGTGGTACTGCTATGTCCAGTTGTAGATGGCTGTAGTGAGAAATACACATTCCCTCTCTTGCTTCAACTTGCAATGGAGAAATGTGTGAAAACAGGACTGAAGCATCAGATTTAAAGGTATTTCAAGTAGGCAAGAACCACAGCAGCCAGGGTCAACTGCTCTGAGGTTGCTCAGGTAGCAACCTATATTGCTGCTGTCCTGAGCAGAGGCCAAGGAGACTAAAGATGTTAGAACAAGCTGAGTTTTTTCCATTAGCTCATACCTATAATATGAGTTCAAAGGAAGATGCTATCCACCCCTTCCACCCTGATTTCTACCCACCTAATAAAGCATTGGGGAAAAAATTATCTTACCAGTAAGGTACCTTACAAAGTAGGAACCTGCACAGAGTTTCTGGCATTGGAACAGCAATTCTGTAGTGCTGAATACAAACAAGCTCCAGCACTAACTTTCAGGCAATGATAGCGGAAAGCTGCTTTCCCACTTAGTTCTCCCAGTGAGTTTGAGAATTACAAATTTAAACAGTCTCATGTTCAAGAGGTGTGTTCAACACAACCCTGGTGTTAGGAGGAAGAGAAAGGTGTGGGTGGGAGAAGGACCTAAGTGCCGCCTTTCCAAGCTGTTCTGGATCAACACCTGGTCCTGTCCTATATTTGGGCAGTCATCTGCAGATGGTTATTATGTATGAGAGTCATTAAAATTAATCCACTTGAAAGCCAGCAATAATGGCTTATAATTTTCCTACAAAGAGGGGAAAAATTGGAAAACTTGTTTGAGGCAAGGAAGGAAGAAGGGAGAAGGTTCCTCTTTGGCTTTGAAAAATTGTCAAGACTGTCAGTGCTAAATTGAAAATACTGAAGTAAAAAGCTGCAGAACTGTTTATTAATAAAAAATCCAACAACAAAACAAAAACAACAACCAAAAAACCCACAACAAACTTCCCCAAAACAAGTCCGAAAAACAAACACTATTTGCAAAGCAAGGCTGTGAGCAAGTACTCCAGACTCTGGGACACGCTCCAGTGGCAGGCAGCAGGATTGAGTCCCAGCCCTGTGGTAGCAGCCTGTGCATAACCCAGCTACAACTTTGTGTCCCC